GGGGAGGGTGCCGGCGCGGGGTGGCGGGGCGGTGGCGGTGCCGTGGGGGGACACAGGGGTGGCAATGACATGGGGTGACACAGCTGTGACGGTGACACGTGGTGGCACAGCAGTGGGACTGCCATAGGGTTATACAGCTGTGACGGTGCCATGGGGTGACCCCGTCCCTGCTGCTGGCTCCTCTCCAGCCGGTGCCCCAGCGCAGTTGCAGGGCCAGTGCACGGCAGCACAGGGTTGCGTCCCCAGGGTGTGTGGCAGCAGGGGACACAACCCCACCACCAGAGACCTGCACCGCTGACACCCAGCCAAGCCCCCTGTGCTCGTCCTCCCTGGCCCGGACGGTGGCTCCAGCTTGCCGCCACTGCCAGCCGTGGGGTGTTTGTGCACTGGTGTTTCCCCATGGCAGGGCTGCCTCCTGCCCCCTCCTCCTGCTGCTCCCACATTTTGTGGACCCCCGCAGCGCTGGGCTCACCGGAGCTGAAAGTGGCACTGCGTGGCCCCACGCTCACACACTGTACACACAGCTGGAGGCTGCATGCAGCCAGACTGTCCTGGCTCAACGTTGGCCGGGATACCACACGTCCCTGCGAAAGGGTGAATGTCCCCAGGGGCAGGCGGGAGGGCTGGGGGGAATGTGCTGCTGCAGTTGCATCACCCCACCGTGGCCCCGGCATGCAGGGGGCCAGGGAGGTTTTGCTGTGGGGTTAGCAGGCTTCCGAGCCACAGAGCCTCGTACACTTGCACACTTGCACTCCTGCACGCTCACCACCCTCCACGTTTAACACTGCTGTGCCACAGCCAGGACTGCAAAGGGCCCCGTGACATGGCCCCGGAAAGCCACCGGCAGGATAATGCTGGCAGTTCCCAGCCCAAACCAAACACATCTCTGGGTTGCAAACGCTTGGGGTTGGGGGTGGGAGAAGGTGGAGCCGAGGAGGAGCTTCCCCCGTCCCGCCACTATATTAAATGTCCTGGTGGACTCCCACTCTCTTTGCCGCTGTCACATCGCCAGGTCACAAAAATGGTGAGGGGCAGCAGATGGGAATTAAATTAAATGGCCGGGGCTCGATGGCGTGGGACGTCTCAGGAGCTTTACCGGGTTTAATCTCTGCTTGAATTTGGACTTTTCAGTGACTGTGCTGGAAGTCGTACAGTCAGCTGAGCTGTTCCTCATACAGACCTTTGGATTCGAGCTCTCTGGGGGCTGAGGTACCTTCCTGAACTGCTAACATCTCTCTTTTCTGATTCTCTCTTTTAGACATCTTACACAGACAAGGGAGAAAAGGTAAGAGCCGTTTCGTGTCCACGGTCCCGGCCCATTGCCTGGTGTGAAACATTAGCCGTGCTAATGCAAATAAGATTAATTCCTTACTCCTTGATTACCTGGTAAAATCAGAAATAAAACTGCTCTCTGGCTGGGCCACACAGAACGTGGTTCCTCGTTGTAAATCACCACTAATGATGGAAATTTTTTCATTTCCTTTTTCTTTCTGGTTTGGGAGGAGAGCGACAAATGGGACACGATGAGTATTTCCCAGTCAACCCTGATGCCTAAGCAGCATCCTCATTTGTTGCAACATTTATTTCCAAATGCTGCACCTATTTGCCACCTTTTTCCCCCATAAAGTGCTCTCAAAGCTGCCGGTGCTCGTGGTGGCTGGGTGCCTGACGCCGCAGGCTGGGCGGGAGCGTGCCTGGGTCCAGCCAGCCCTGGCGGGACGGCGGTGGGGAACAGAGCGAAGGGGGATTTGTCCCGGCACTGGCAGTTGTGTAAGAGTGTTTGAGGGAGGATTAATCTTTAACACAACAAGGTTCGCGGGCGGGTGTTGTGCTCTGGCCACCGTGCCTGGACAGCCCTGGCACTGCGGGGGCTGCTTGTGGGGAGCACTGGGAACACCAGGACCGACGTGGCCCCAGGCAAGCAGGGGCTTTGCACCTTCCACCCCGCAGAGCGGGATCCTGCGGCACCTGACTGTAAAGCACTTTGGAAAATCGCTGTTTCGGGCAGCAGCTGGGGTTTCACACGGTTAATTCAGATGCATTCGCAGGAGAGGCATTTGCAGGGTTGCAGCCATTGCTTCTCCCTGCTCCGGAATCGAGCAGTGCTGCGGGAAAGGCTGCAGCGGTGGCTCTCAGCCCTGTTTTCCCTTTCCCTTTAGCCCCTACGAGGCCGCTTCATCCATTTCCACTCCATCACTTTCTGGGTCGGCAATGCCAAGCAGGTGAGAGGCTGCGTCCAGCCGGGTAGGCACCCACCGTGCCGGGACAGGGCAGCCGCTCTGGTTATTGGCTGGTGGGGGGGGGGGGTTGGTCGTGGAGAGCCGCCGG